GGTGCGTGGGAGCTTCTACAAGCCTGAGCTGAGGGCTAGCTGTGTCCAAGAGGTGGTCAGGGAACACTTCCTGGAGGAAGCAGCACTCTGAGACTGCACACTCGGTGGGAGTTAGCTAGGAGTGGTAGGAGTGTGGTGGTGAAAAATTTGCCTGGTAATGTGTTCATCTCATTTCCCTGCATAAAGCCCTCTTCTGAGCTTCACCATTGCCAGCAGGATAAAGTTCAAATTCCTTATCATGGAACACAGTCTGGGTGGCCTCACTGACCACTCCCCTGTATTGAGTCTGAGGTGCTTTCAGATAGTTCCCCCAGTCTCTGGCTAGCTCCCGCACAGCTCCAGGCCTTTGCACATGCAGTTCCTCATGCCATCCACCCTTCCCACCCACTCTGAACTACCAACGTCAGTTGACTCAGGAGCCCTTCCCTGACCCCTCCCATGTAGACTTTGTGGCTCCCTCTCTGGTGCTCCCCGCCTGTGCACACACCTGGACACCTGTGCACTCATCACATCATTAAGCTTGTCCACGTGTATCTCTGACTCTTGCTCCTACCTGCCAGTGCAGAATTCCAGGTCTTGCCTACCTCCCACAGCCTCACCCCGTGAGCATTTTGGGCGTCCCCAGGGTGTGTGTCTCCCATGTGCTGGTGGATAAGGTTAGACAGCTACACCCTCCCACTCCCAGCTATCTTTTCCCCTCCTCCACTCTGCAGCCTCCCTTTGCCCCTGCCACACCCCATGAAGATATCAGTTCTGCTGGACATTGCCCCACCCATTAGACACCCCACGCCTGCTGGGAGCCACTGCCACTCCTGTTGGCATGAGGTCAGCTGGCTCCTCTGTAGGAGCAGGGCTGTGAGGCTGCTGGTGCCCCCATTGCTTTATAGGGTCTTGAGGTTTGGTCCCATGGGTGTGTGTCCATCAACTACTGCTTCAGCTCAGGATTACTTCCTCCTTCCACTGAGCAAAGCTTTGGCCCCGGGTCAGTTCACTGTGCTCTTCTCCTTCTTCCCTTAGAAAGAATTCTTTTTCCTAACAAGTCTCTCAGCCCTTCATGCAAATACACTCCCCCAAGGTTCTGCTCTTCAGTAGGCTAAACAGGTGTGACCTGCATCACCCTCCAACTCCAGCCTGGAGGGAAAAATATATATGTATTTATATGTTTCAAATAGTAGATGATATATGCAATACTGAATAGAGCTTCATCACTAAAATACAAAAGCAGTTTAGAAATACATACAATAAAAAGGTAAAGCTCCCTTTCTAGCCCTTGCCCTGTCTTAAAAGCTTACCCTACTGGTAGACACTGTTAATTCTTTGGTGGGAATGTTCAGACTTTTTGCTCTGCATTTACACATCTGCGTGGCTGGCATAATATTTGAGAAATTAATCACTTTCCTCCTTGTGGATTTTCCCCTTTCCCACTCTCACATCCTTGGAGCTCATTTCCTCCTGAACTAGCTCCCCAGATTAGAAATTGGAATCAAGTTTCAGGTGTCTCTGGCTTTTGTGTGCCAAAAGCTTATGCTCTTAGGAGAACTTTAGGGTTTGTGGAATAGCTCATTGAAGGAAAAGGATTCTTTTGCACACACTGAATACCTTGACTAGAAACAAGAAAGAAGAAGGATTTCACCTGGAGTGGAAAGACCCCCAACTCTTTGCAGAGCTCTCCTCCCCAGACAGGCTTGGGGCAGGAGAGACAGGGGAGAAAGATCTGTGGTCTCCAGAGTCCCACCTTGCCTTCTAGCAGATCACCTGGGCAGGCAGGAGTGAGATTCCAGAGAGTGGCGGCCACGTGGTGGGACCGCATGTTGGGACCAAGCTGTAGGGACACGGGCAGCCTGGTCCAAGATTCTTGGATGCCCATGGGTGGCAGAGAGTGGCAGAGGCTATTGGATATGGCTTCAGCCAGCTTCACAGCCACCTCCTGTGTTCCATGCTGGCACTTCTCAGTATTCTGGAGAACTCAGACACACCTAGAGTTGAGTTTCCTATTGGCACAATGGAAGCTGACCATAAACATTGAGTTGAGTTATAGAAACTAAAGTTTGGTGTCCTGCACACTTGAATTTGTGAACCGAGATTCATTCCTGTGGCTTGTGCTATTCATATTCTGCTACTTTTGAAAAAAAAGTGCAATATATCTTAAAAATGTTTCCACATCAGTAGATATAAATTTATCTTGTTCTTTTTTAAAAAACAATATTAGGGGGCGCCTGGGTGGCTCAGTTGGTTAAGCGACTGCCTTCGGCTCAGGTCATGATCCTGGAGTCCCGGGATCGAGTCCCGCGTCGGGCTCCCTGCTCAGCAGGGAGTCTGCTTCTCCCTCTGACCCTCCTCCCTCTCATGCTCTCTGTCTCTCTTTCTCTCTCTCTCAAATAAATAAATAAAATCTTAAAAAACAATATTAGGGACGCTTGGGTGGCTTAGTCAGTCACTGTCTGCCTTCAGCTCAGGTCATCATCCCAGGGTTCTGCGATTGAGCCCTGCATCAAGCCCCACACGGGCTCCTTGCTCAGTGGGGAGCCTGCTTCTCTCCCTGCCTGCCATTCCCCCTGCATGTGCTCTCTCTCTCTCTCTCTGACAACTGAATAAATAAAATCTTAAAAAAATATATTATTTTCAAAAACATACATGCTCACAGAAAATTTTAACAGTACCAAAGGAGAAAGCAAAAGTTCTCCAGTCCTCTGTTCCTACTCACTAGATAAAACTATTGCTAACAGCTTCTTTTTTTATTTTTTAAGATTTTATTTATTTATTTGACAGAGAGAGCACAAGCAGGGGGAGCGGCAATCAGGAGAGGGAGAAGCAGGCTCCTCACTGAGCAAGAAGCCCGATGCAGGGCTCAGTCCCAGGACCCTGGGATCATGACCCGAGCTGAAGGCAGACGCCTAACCGACGGAGCCACTCCGGTGCCCCGCCAACAGCCTCTTGATGGTTCTTCTAGAAATTTTTCTATGCAGATAAAGACATTTATCCATTTCTATAGAGCTCTTTTTATATACAAATAATCCCAAACTATATATACTTATCTGCAACATATTTGATTATTTAGCAATTTGATCTTATTAAATGAATTCTATCATTTAAGTAGATATAGTTCAACTTCATTTCTTTTAATGATGCCCAGTATTCTATAGACTAGATGTGCCACATGTATGTAACCAGTTGATTGGCATAAATTTCCAGATTTTTAGCTATTACCAGTTAAGGGCACAATGAACATAATAATATCTAACATTTGTTGACCATAGACCTTATTCTTTGCATGTAGTAAGTCACATAACCCTTGTAATAGTCCAGTGACATAGGCCCTATTATTGCCCCTGCTTCACAAATGATTGAATTAAGTCACAAGGAGATCAGTAACTTTCCTATAGTCACCATCTGGTAGGTGGTAGATCTGGGATTTGAACAGGGCAGTGAAGTCCCAAGCCTGTACTCTAGATTAGGACACCACAGGCCCTGTGTAGATGCTGTGCACCTGGCTAATATAGCCATAGAATACATCTGTAGCAACTCCTGGGTCAAAATAAGTGCATGTCAAGTTTTAATAGTGCTATGTGGTCAGGAGGTTATTTTATGAAAAGAGTAGTGTATTTCTTTTCATAATCAAGTGCAGAGCCTGCTTGTTTCCTGAGAACAGAGGGGCTGCAGAGGCTCCTGTGCCCAGAGGCCTCACTAGGTGAGAGCATGTTTTCTGCCATGGCCAAGGCTTTAAGTTTGAATCCTATATGGCCTTCTCCCCTCTGGGCTCGACAGGGCTCTCTCTAATTAAGGCCACAGACACAAGCTGCCAGAGAAGTCAGCTCCTGGACTCCCTTTCTCTCTGTACCCTCTTAGTCTCTCAGGGGTGAGGGTCCCTCCCAATTAGAATGGCCCCAGTTTCCCATTCCATCTGCAGGGAGAGAAAATGGCAGCTATCTACAGAGACGGAACTGGCCACTCTTTACTTCCCCACCTGCAGCTCCTACATCAAACCGCAAGGGGCCCCATTGTGGGACCTTCAGTCCGGGATCCATACCAGACCTGCTCAGAGTGTGTGGCATAGCTTCTTTTCTTTACAGTGGCTTTTTTTTTTTTAAGATTTCATTTATTTATTTGAGAGAGAGAGAGCACAAGCAGGGGGAGGGGTGGACAGAGACAGAGAAGCAGATTCCCCGCTAAACAAGGAGCCCAATGTGGGGCTCAATCCCAGGACTCCTGAGATCATGATCTGAGCCAAAGGCAGCCACCCAACTGACTGAGCCACCCAGGTGCCCCCCTCCCCTTTTAAGGTAAACTCTACACCTAATGTGGGGCTTGAACTCATGTCCCCGAGATCAAGAGTCAGGTGCTCTAGGGGCACCTGGGTGGCTCAGTAGGTTGAGCGTCTAACTCTTAATTTCGGCTCAGGTCATGATTTCAGGGTCGCAAGATTGAGCCCTGCATCAGGCTCCGTCCATGCTGGGCATGGAGCCTGCTTAAGATTCTTCTCTCCCTCTCCCTCTGCCCCTCCCCTCTAAAAAAGGAGTCCATGCTCTACTGAGTCAGCTGGGTGTCCCCTGACAGTGGCTTTTACAGGACTCTATCAGTGGTTCTGAAAGGGGCGATTTCACCCCAACCCCACTGGCAGGGGACATTTAGCAGTGTCTGGAGATATTTTTGGTTGTTGCAAATTGGTATGTGGGAGGGTTAGGGGGGTACTACTGGCATATAGTGGGTAGAGAGAGGCCAGGGATACTGCTAAACATCCTGCAGTTCACAGAACCGCCGCTCACAACAAAGAGTTACCCAGCCCAAAATGTCAATAGTGTTGAGGCTGAGAAACCATCGGCTACAGAAGGGCAGACAGTTCAACATGGCTGTCACTGTGTGACTCCTTCTGTTAACAGTGGCAAACACTTATGTCTTGTTCACTTGTAGCAACTGTTCTAAGTGCTTTATCTCCATTAACTCATTTAATCCCCACAACAAGTCTGTGAGGCAGGTTCCACTATTATCATCTCATTTTGCAGATGAGGAAGCCGAGGCACGGAGCTGTGAAGTACCTAGTCCAAGGTTCCCATGGTGGCCGTCTAGGCTTGATCTCCAGATATGCTCATGGTAAGCACATGCGGGACCTCTCTCCCTTCTTTGCTACTTCTAGAACCTTTGGAGCACCAGGGATTGTTTATATCTTTACAAGGAGGGGAAAAAAAGCAGTTGACTGGTCTCTTCTCCCAGATTCTGACTCTCCCATTTCTGATGGCTTTTGTATTTTTTTTTTCTCCAGACAGTTTAATCAAAGTGAGTACTGATTACAGAGATTATGGACAACATGAAAATTAACTTACTGAATTTGCATAAAAAATCCTGTGTCCTTCCCACAATGGTCTCTTAGGGCTCTTTCATTCTATAGGCTGGACTGCTTGGGTGACAGATTCGCTTAAATATGAGAGCAGACCTGATCACTCAGAAGGACTAGGAGGAACTGGTGAGTCAAGCTTGGGATACCAGGGACACAGGACTATTCTGATTAGGCCCATAGTTTTGATGAAGGGGGTGCTTTTCCAAAGGAGGCCTCCAATAGCCAAGATGGGAAGTTGTAAATGGGGTGAGGGTGGTGGAAGAAGTAGGAAGGGATCTGTTGGATCAAAGCCAGAGGAAATACTTATTGATTCATTAATTATAGGATGCCATAGGATTGGCTTTTCCTCTGGGTGTGGGGGTAGTAACCTATGCTTTAAACAAACAGGCCCATCACTCAACAATAATTAGCAGCAACAATAAGCATCTTCAATGGGGCAAGATTGACAGGTGGCCCACAACATGCAGTCTCAAGCCTGGCCTGAGCTTGAATGCCACACCTGTGGAGCCAACCAGTCCATGCTTAGGCAGCCCACAGGGTCATGGGCACAGAGATGACATGTTCTTTCTTGGGCCATTTGCCAAGAACTTGCTATGTCCTAGGCACTGTACCCACGGTCTAGAGAATTGAAGAGACAAGATTAAGTTTGAGAAGTTAAATAGCAGCATAAGAAATACCACATATGTCCATATAAGGGATATAGATACTCAGAGTCAAATGGGAATTCTGGACAGGGATTCCCCACCAGGCAGATGGTAGGGAAGGAGGTCTGTATTGCACCACCATGTTTCTTTTATTTATTTATTTGACAGAGAGAGACACAGTGAGAGAGAGAACACAAGCAGGGGGAGTGGGAGAGGGAGAAGCAGGCTTCCCGCGGAGCAGGGAGCCTGATGCGGGGCTCGATCCCAGGACCCTGGGATCATGACCTGAGCTGAAGGCAGATGCTTAACGATTGAGCCACCCAAGTGCCCCACCACCATTTTCTTTTAAAAATGGGAAACACAATAGCAGCAATGTCCATAATAGCCAAACTGTGGAAAGAGCCAAGATGTCCATCGACAGATGAATGGATAAAGAAGATGTGGTATATATATACAATGGAATATTACGCAGCCATCAAAAGGAATGAGATCTTGCCATTTGCGACGACGTGGATGGAACTGGAGGGTATTATGTTGAGTGAAATAAGTCAAACAGAGAAAGACATGTATCATATGATCTCACTGATATGAGGAATTCTTAATCGCAGGAAACAAACTGAGGGTTGCTGGAGTGGGGGGTGGGGTGGGAGGGATGGGGTGACTGGGTGATAGACACTGGGGAGGGTATGTGCTCTGGTAAGCGCTGTGAATTGTGCAAGACTGTTGAATCTCAGATCTGTACCTCCGAAACAAATAATGCAATATATGTTAAGAAAGAAAAAAAAAAAAGAAGAAGAAGGTAGCGGGAGGGGAAGAATGAAGCGGGGGAAATCGGAGGGGTAGACGAACCATGAGAGACAATGGACTCTGAAAAACAAACAGGGTTCTAGAGGGGAGGGGGGTGGGAGGATGGGTTAGCCTGGTGGTGGGTATTGAGGAGGGCACATTCTGCATGGAGCATTGGGTGTTATGCACAAACAATGAATCATGGAACACTTCATCTAAAATTAATGATGTAATGTATGGGGATTAACATAAGAAAAAAAAAAAGACCACAAAAATGGGAAACACAAAGAACAAAAAAGGAAGTAAGAAATCATACTAATAATACTAGTCAGAAGTGTGTATTATTACTATTTTGGTTACATGCCTAAAGATCTTTTTTCTGTGCATGTATATGGATGTGTACACACTTACATATTTCATTACATAAGTGAGTTCATATCATACATACTCTTCTGTGACTTGCTTTTTATCCTTAGCAATATATTGTAAACAGTTTTCCTTGACAGTAAATAAACTTCTTATGGATCTCTAGTATTTCACTGTGCACCTACCATGATTTAACTAATCTCTTATTATTGCCCCTTAGGTGACTAACAGTAAGGCTTTTATGTAATACTGACTTTGTGTACATCGTTATTTTTATCCTTAGGATATAGTCTTGAAGTAGAATTGCTAGATCAAAAACTATGCACACTTCCAGTGATTTTCATATTGCCCAATTGCCTTCCAGAAAGGATAGATCAGCTTAGGCTCTTACCACCAGTCTTATGAGAGCATCTCTTTGCCTACATCTTTACCAGTCTTATGAGAACATCTCTTTGCCTACATCTTTCCCAATATTAGGGAATACTGCTTTTTTTTTTAATTGCAAATTTGATAAGCAAAACTAGTATTTTATTGTTGCTGCTTTATTTTTATCTTTTTTTTTTTTTTTAAGATTTTATTTATTTATTTGACAGAGAGAGACAGTGAGAGAGGAAACACAAGCAGGGGGGAGTGGGAGAGGGAGAAATAGGTTTCCTGCCGAGTAGGGAGCCTGATGCGGAGCTCGATCCAGGACCCTGGGTTCATGACCTGAGCCGAAGGCAGACGCTTAACGGCTGAGCCACCCAGGTGCCCCATATTTTGCTTTTCTTTTAAAAAAATTATTATTTTGGGGCTCCTGGGTGGCTCAGTCGTTAAGCGTCTGCCTTTGGCTCGGGTCATGATCCCAGGGTCCTGGGATCGAGCCCCACATAGGGCTCCCTGCTTGGCAGGAAGCCTGCTTCTCCCTCTCCCACCCCCCCTGCTTGTGTTCCCTCTTTCACTGTGACTCTCTCTGTCAAATAAATTTTTTTTTAAAGGTTTTATTTATTTATTTTGGCAGAGAGAGAGAGAGAGACAGAGAGAGAGGGAACACAAGCAGGGGGAGGGGCAGAGGGAGAAGCAGGCTTCCCGCCGAGCAGGGACCCCGATGTGGGGCTTGATCCCAGGACCCTAGGATCATGACCTGAGCCGAAGGCAGGTGCTTAATGACTGAGCCACCCAGGCGCCCCCTGTCAAATAAATTTTTAAAAAATTTTTAAAAATTATTATTTTGTTACTTGGGCTCTTTTTCTACAGGCCAATTAGTCACTGGTTATTCTCTTGAAGAATTGATTATGTGCTTTATTTAGTTTTCTATTGGTATGTCCTTTTTTTCATTTCATTTGTACAGTATTTTATTATTATTTAGTGTGGCTTATTCTTTTTTTGTCTTTTTGATTTTTTTTTTTTTGACAGAGAGAGACAATGAGAGAGGGAGCACAAGCAGGGGGAGTGGGAGAGAGAGAAGCAGGCTTCCTGCGGAGCAGGGAGCCTGATGCGGGACTCAATCCCAGGACCCTGGGACCATGACCTGAGCTGAGGGCAGTTGCTCAACCAACTGAGCCACCCAGGTGCCCCCGTCTTTTTGATTTAAAGGAGAACTTGATATATATTCAAGCTATTAACTCTTTGTCTTTCTTGTGTAACAAATATTTTATCCTAGGTTGTCATTTGCCATTTAGTTTTGTTCATATTTAAGCATTCATAAATCTAAAATGTCCATGCAATCAAGGTGGTCTTTATAGGCTTTCCAAGCCATTGGGCTGGAGGTGGCTGTGACTAGAAGCAGAGAGGCCCATGGGCAATCCTTGAGCTGGTAACAGGGTGGCAGGATGAGGCCTTCAGTCAGGGCCAAGCTGGAGAGGTTCAACCTGGACAGATTCAAGGCAGAATGAGAGGTGGCCAAGAAGGGGTAACCCTGGGAGGGGGGAATGAGGAGGGAGCAGGAGGAGTCTGGGGTGATTCAAGGATACTGACCTGGATGGCAGAGTGAGCAGGTGGAGGATGAGCCAGAATCAGGGATACATGAAAAGGTAGGGGTGGGGGACAGGGGTGGAGATTGTTATAATTCACCTTGGGATTGTTGATGGAGGTTCCTGGTGGAGAGAACTCATTGGTATTTGGATCTCTAGGCCGAGCCTATGTTTCTGTCTTTGTGTCAGGCTTTGAAAGTTTTTTTTCTGCTACAGAATTATATGTTCATATAAATTCTCAATACTTAAATGGTTTCTTTTTAAAAGTTTTACATTTATAAGTAAAAAAGGAAAAACAAAGAAAAAATTTACATTTAATTCTTAATCTAGATGGAATTTGTCATATTTTGGTGAATTGTGAGAATTAAGGATTTAACTTCTCTTTCCTAGTCACTGATGATTAAACTATTTATCCTTAGCCTCCTGATCTGAAATACTGACTGCAGGGCACCTGGGAGGCTCAGTTGGTTAAGCATCTGTCTTTGGCTCAGGTCATGGTCCCAGGGTCCTGGGATCAAGCCCCGCATCGGGCTCCCGGCTCGGCGGGAAGTCGGCTTCTCCCTCTGCCCCTCCCGCTGCTTGTGCTCTCTCTCTCTCTCTCAAATAAATAAATAAAATATTTTTAAAAAATGAAATACTGATTGCATCTTACAGTACACTTCCATGTATACCTGGGTCTGCTCTAGGACTCTCTGGTCTCTTCCAGTGAATTGTCTATTTGTACACCAGTAACTTCTGTTTTGATCACATTTTCTTTAAATATATCTTAATAGGTGCTAGTGTGAGGTATACATCATCACACTGTTTTTTTCAGAATTTTCTTTGTTCTTTTAAGGTAGACTTCAAAATCAAAGTGCTAGGCCCTCCTCCCTTGGGCTGCACAGTGGAGCTGGAAACATGGGTCATCCCAGTGGAGTCCTTTGTATTCATAAGCACCAGACATACCAGGAGCTGGATTTGATGGGCCTGGACTTTCTTCACGATGCAGAAATCACATGGCCTCTTTAAGGAAGAAGCCCCTCACTGCCATTGACCTCCACATGGGACATTCCATAGTCTCTGACCCAAAGACAGTCCTGCGGACCTTCAGAGCCCCCGTGTCTCTGCTGCTGTGGCTGCTATAATGCCATATGCCCCCCACGGTAGCCCAGCCACCCTAGCCTGGGGTTTTCCTGTCCATCTTGCAGGGGACCCTGCCTCCAGCTAGGGCCCTCTCCAACCCCAATCTCCTCTGAGGATTTCCTGTGGGTTAGCCCTGGGGATCTTCTCTTAATCTGTTCTTAAATGTGTTATTCCAGAAAGAATTGTTCGTAATCACCAGCATTGTAATGGCTTCTTCCTAGCGTGTGTTTTTTTTTTTTAAGATTTTTATTTATTT